GAGAGAGAGAAAAGGAAAAAAAAATCCAGCACACACCACAGGGTGAAAAGTGGGGAAGAAAATCCCAAACACACACCCCAGACACTATGCAAACACTCTAACAGCAATCAGCCACCCTAAGTCACTAACACAGAAAAAAGCCTCCTGAAGGCAGTCCCACACCTAAGCTGCTTGTTCCAAAGAAACTGTTCTCTGCTTACTGCTCGGCTTAAAAGCCATGGCTGCTGACAGGTGTGGAAAAGAAAAAAAAACAGCACTTTACCAGAAGAGGCATTGCATTAGTTTGACCCAGATCCCCATTGTCTGTATAGCTTAGCCTCTTGAAAAGGGCTTTTTGGAACTTTTATCTAATGCTGATTCAATATCTTTTATTAAACTAACTCAATCTTGCCTAACCTTTTTTTCGGCAGCATGCAATAAATGAAACAGCAGAATAAATTGATCCTGCCTCCATCTTCCTCAAAGTTAATATGTATATGCTTATTTTGTATCTGTAGTTATCCCGTATACGAGCTTCAAGTGGTCCCCTGTATTCAAGACAAATTAATAAGGACTACTTTTCTGAACAGCAAACACTTTAGATGAAAGAGCTGTGAAAACTGAGAAATCAGTATTTCATTTCTTACATCTTAATAAATATACTTTGGACAGTACCTACTTAAACAAACCACTTTAGGTTGTGGTCCCTTTTTGAAATATAATATCTTAGTACTCATAACAAACAGTTTCAGGAAAGGAGATTTTATTTGTGCACATAAATGTACACAGGCATTTAAACGTATAAAAGCAAAGCCTTGTTTTATGTTTTGTGTAGTCTTATTCATATTTCTTTTCTTCTTCCTCCAACAACTGACTCTGAGAATTCACTCCTGCGATACTTAAGTGATGACAAGATTTTAGTGATCCAGGAAGAGCCTTTGACACAGAAAGACAACAAAAGGGACACCGGCCGCAGGTCAAGAAAAAAGGGCAAAAACACAGGCAGCCCAAACTATCCAATTAGCCCATCTATGCTGACATCTACTGTTAATGTTAGGCTTGAACCTGGGCAGCAAGATGTCTTGAATTTCTCACTGGCTGAGAGCAACACTGTTCCACTATATCACGTAAGTTCATAAAAATGTGAAGTTCTTTTTCTCTTAATATGTGTGAGAACTACAGTCTTATATTTTATGGTATAATATTGTACAGCAGAATCTAGGAATCATTTTTCAATTCAGTATCACTGATAAAGTTCATTGACAAACCATCTGGATGTTAAAAAGTTAAAAATCCATAATACAGAGAACAATAACTATGTTAGTTGCTTTACTACATAATTAAAACTGTTTATAGCACCCCATTTCATTGAAGTTTGTAACAAATGACTATACCCACTAGATCGGAGCGGCCAACCTGCCACACATGTGCCATAAGTGACATAGGCAGATTCTCTGTAGTGGAGAACAGCAGCAGATACATCAGACAAGAGAAGGAAGAACAGCAGATCAGGCTGGGAGCGCAGGGCACACAGCAGAAAGCAGAGCAACTTATTAGGCAGGGAGTATAAGGCAGGGGGCAGAAAGGAGAACAATAGATCAGGCAGGGAGAGGGGATTGGAGTGGCACTTGGGGAGGGTGCTGGGCTTACCTTGTGGCATAACTGCCAAGCTGATTGGCCAGCAGTGCTGTAGATGAGGAAGCATACAAATTAAATATTTTGATCATATGTCTGAATATAACTCATAACAACCATTTTCTTGCTAGAGCCCACAAAATGGGCACTGATAGTAGTCATTGTTCATATAATATTTATCATTCCTCAGCAGGCTACAGGAATATGTTATTGTTTAGTAGTTCTACCAAATGATAACATTATGTGAGCCTCAAAATCATGGTCCTAAAGAAATGTTCTACTTGAAATGTTTTCAAACATAAACTGGTTTTCAGTGCTATAAACTTTTATCCCTGGCCAGACATGAGATACTGATGTACCCTTAGAAAAACTCAAATCTGGCAAATAAGAAATATTTTAATATGGAGATCCAGTTAAAACTAACAATAATAGACCCCTTAATAAGAATAATAAGAATAACTCAGCTATTTTATAGTGTCATAAACCTAATATGTATTATCAGTAAACTAATTTGATGATCCTGCAAACTTTGGAAAGAATGCAGTGGAACTATGAATGGACATAAAATCCATAGACTTTACTAACTTGGAAGAAACAAGTCAGTGATGTCTACCTGCTACCATCTAATGTCCACATCAACGTCCAGTTTCTGAACTTGCATGCTGTCCATGTGATATCAATGGATTCATTTAGTTGTGTTCTAAACCAGCACAACATTTGGCTCTGCCTGTTCAGATGCTCCCAAACTATCAACAAGTTGTGCACAAATGATGGCTTCTTTGTTCATGCATTATGCACGATCCATGCATATTCTGTTCCATAGAAGTTTCCACGTGTATAATTCATTTCTGGTCATATATCTACCAGTCTGGAATGGACTGCTTTATCCTCATATTCTGTATTACCATCAAAATTGCTAGATGTTGTGTTTTCAAATCTTAGTTTCATAGTTTCGTAGTTTCTAGGGTCGGAAGGGACCTGAGTAGATCATCTAGTCCGACCCCCTGCCATGGGGGGTCAGACTAGATGATCTTAATCCTGTCAGGGCATTCTACCTGAACATTCAGCCTCTCTCTCACTGTCAGCACAGAAGCTCCACAAGGAATTCCTGTGATTAATGCAGGGATTGGCAACCCACAACCTAGATCTAGCCTGCAAACAGGTTGGATGTGGCTTACCAAGGTCTGATCTGACCCCTGGTGGTACAGGGGGCTCAGAGGCATGCAGCTACATTGTGCTACCCTTCCTCTCCTCACTGCCTCCTTTTCATAGCCCTCTCTGCTGCTGTCTCACACCTGTGCTTACACTCGCTGCAGAATGTGTCCCTCTCTGTTGCTGCTGAGGATGGCAATGGGTAGCAAGAGTAGCTGCAGATGGCTTGGGTGCTCCCAGGAGTAGAGATTTGTGGTCTACAGCAAGGGGACAGGTCAAAAGTGTCAGCAAAAGGTTGCTGACCCCTAATCTAATGAAAGCAGTAATTCCTCCTAAAACATGAGGGAAATAATCAGCTAATTCTTTAAGCAAGAGGTGGTATATGAAAATAAACAACCAGGCTTTCTCTTAGTGGAAAGTAGCCGTTTTAGATTGGTTGACCCCTGATGCAGTTACTTAGTATTCAAGGTAAAAAACCAACTTTTTTAAACATATCTGTGAGACAGAGATTAGACAGAGGTGGCTGACACTTGTACTTGATTTAACATCACTGTAATACCACTAAAGTCAATGAAGTAAAATCTAGACCAATGTTTTAAAGTAATTTAAAAGGGAGGTTTCTGTGGCATTGTAACTTGTTTGTAAACATATTTTTCCCAAAACACAGTTCCAGTTTCTTTTTTTTTATTTTGATTTAACTTAATTACATTTACTTACTCTATCAAAATCTCAATATATTCTCATATATTACCCTGAAATGCTTCAGTGGGGAGTGTTCGGCATTGGTGGACTGTTTTTTGTCCGTGCAAAGAAATATACTTTCTGACTGACACAGTGCAGAACATTTACCTCTGAGACATAATTAAGTTGTTATGCATTGAATTTAGCTTTGTTACACTTCATTAGTCTTGGTAAACAAAAGACACTTAATTTAGACAATAGTATCTACAGGCATGAATTTGCAACTCAAAATAATGATTTGATTTTCTACTGGAATGTTAAATTGCAGTGTTACTATATGTTCTAAGCTGTTAAAGATATTGGTAGCTAGAGTGCAAACCAGTTTGAACAGAATTTTTTTGGTAGAGGAGACACAAGAGGAGAAGAGACTTTTCAACACTTCTGCTCAGGAGCAAATTTTCTAGAAGTTAAAAAAAATAAATTATAACGCTGTAATGACAGCTGCTTCTATCTGCTAGAAAATTACATCAAGGCCTGACTTTGTATGCTTTGCCACAAAGAAAGTAATAGGAATTTTTTCTAGTAGATTTTGTATCATGACATTCTGCTCTTCCCTGGCATCCTGTTTATTATAGATGTTTCCAAGCACCTTAGGGGCTAGTCCAAGATTTTGTGGCATGGCTGGCTACAATGATAGAATATTTACTTGGTCTTATCATCGATAAATTTTGCAACTGCAACTACAGTTTACTTTAATAAATCTTTTACTTTTACAGTATCTTTTACTGGGATTAGATAGCTCATAGAATTAGCAATGGAGTATGCAGCATTTTAAACTAGGCCATTGTTTCTAAGCCAGTGTAAACTGAAAGATAATGAAAATCTCTATTTCAGACAAATGCTTTTAACTGCATGATCAAATGATCTAATTTTCTGGTTGTAATGTATCTGGTTTAAAAAAGGTAATCTTCCTGTCATTACATAACTTGTCATTGTTATCAACACCAGTAAAGATTTCCAGTAACATAGTAACCAGAATTGTCCTAATTGGCATTCCTGTATTAATCAGATATCCATATATTATCACCAAAAACATGCTGCTTTTGGTATTTTACAGGTATTTCTCATAAAATAAGGTATTTTACAGGTATTTCTCATAAAGAAACCTTTAACACTAACATAAAACTACTGATGGGATTTTGTTCCCCACAGACCCTTGATATGAAATCTAAATAAAATGTTGATTAACACTTATTTGGACACATAGGGTACATGCAGAAGTTACACTTAGATCTACCTAACTAGGGTTAGATTGATCTAAATGCTAATCTATACCAACATTTGGGGAGGTTAGATCAGGCAAAAAAATGGCTGCCCCAATCTAAATTAGTTCACCTGAGGAGGTGAACTAAATTAAATCTGGAACAAGTTAGCCCAATCTACCAAAAGTATGAACATGTTCAGAATGCAGCCCCAGGCCTGAGACCATCCCTGGACAGACAACCCCTTGCCCGCAGACCCAATCCTGCCCACCCTCCACCAACCCTGCCCCCCAATCCCACTCTCCACCAACCTGACTTACTCAGATTGGATTCCCAGGGCAGCTCCTAGCACCGACAAATGTGTGCATGATCTGCTCCTGATCCAAGATCATGCAGTGTAAAATAAGCTGCATGATCATAGATTGCATACGATGAATGCTTGTGCACACCCCTAGGTTAATTGCATACATACTTGTTATAAGAAAGTATTTTAGTTTACAAAGTTAAGCTCTTGGAAGTAAGAAAATATCAAATTTGCCGTTGTTCAAGCAACCTACTTTCCCACGTTATATGGGACCACTGTGTACACTGAACAAGGCTGGCATCTAGTTAAAAAACATAGTGCATGATTGTGCAAGCAAAGACTATATTAATAATACAGTCATACAAGAAGCCAGAATTAAGGCTGCACAAATAACTGTCTGACAATTCCTGTATTTTAAACCCTTTGTAACTTATATAACACTCTTTTAACAGTTACTTCAATAGTTTTTCTGAAAAAACTTTTCCAGGTTAATTTTACAATCTATGTATGGCAGCTATATTCTTCAAAGAATTGCTATGACATCTTCAACTGTTGTAACCACTGTGGTATATATTTGAACAGCTTATTGACTGAATGACAGCACTTGCTTCTTAGCAAGAAGCGGAGTGGATGGCACTGCTTTATCTTTCAAACTCTCAAAGTCTACGGTCTTTGGGGGTATGAAAAGTACACTTTGTCCTAAAATTTTGTTTATTTTTGGAAAGATTAGTATTAGACTTTTTTGTAAAATAGCACAAAAATGAGTTTAAAAGCTTAATGTCATATCAGAAGTGAACCAAAAGTCTGATACGTCTGTAATTTCTGTACAGTATCTGTGGATTCCATCTACGTGCCAGATAAATAGCCAGCAGGCACTGCCCAGGTAGCAGAATGGAAAGCTATTAGTTTATAAAGAAAGCACTCACAAAGCTGCCTTATATTTAGAATAAATACCCCAATCTTTATTTTTTTTAAAAACACATAATTGGGTAAACATCTTTTGATCATGCAGTCACACTAGATATAGTGTGAATTTATTTACTTTATTGATGACCCTCCCATAATAAAATAAAAGTGTGAGTCAGGATACAAG